TAAAAAAAAAAAAACTCAACTCGGGATTTAAGTGACAGTAGTCCTGTCTTCTCTCCCATTAACGACATACTAAAATTTCTTTTTATAAATAATATGGTTCCAAATTTTCAGAATTGAATATTTTTTTAAAAATTCAACGTCTATTTCTACACTGTTGTTGATAAGTGCCAGTAAATATAAAAATGTCCAGAAAACTTGTTGTCTAACGAAAGCAAAAAATAAATATTTGTGTTTAAGTTTCGTATCACAAACGTAATCTTTTGTTACCATAGTCACAAAAAATAACACTTTTTACTTATAAAAGTTATTTGAATATTGTATTTTATGAACACAAATTTAAACCGACAAAGGTAACAGCAGTATAATAATAAAAATATTGTTTGAGATATTTATTACTAGATGGCGAAACTATACGGAATTGTCTTGCTGTCTCAATTTCTTTTCAATAGGTGGCGTAGATTAATGAGCAGTACAGAGTAAATTACAGCTCTAACTAAATATAGTCCAGACCATCAGCATGAAATGTTGGCATAGTATATTGTTTCACGTACACCACGACACCCAATTTCATCGAGTATTTGATTCGTAAACACTAGTTCTTTTTTTAATTAACAAAGCAGAAAATTTGTCTGTTGGCGCCCTGGGCGACTTTAGCGTGAAAAGCTGTAATCTAAAGACCTAATAGGAAATACAGTTAAGTTAATTTGGTTTATCGAGGTCAAAAGGAAACTTGAACTGACGCGCATATGTGTATAAAAGTAAATATTCTTACATTATCTTACTGAGAGTTTTTTATTATTATTATTACAGATCCTGCCCAGAATTTAGAAAACGTATATTAAGATAATTAAAAGTTTTACTATTGGTTGTCATTATCCAAAGAATGTAATTGATAGAGGACTTAATACTGTAGAAAATGTACAAACCAAGGGCTTTAAACACTAAAAATCGGGCTTCGATACCAGCTTAACGAAAAACACACAAACAATACTTAAGATAGCCATCGAAGCTACGAAACTGGTAAGAAAAAAGTTTGAGAAAAAGAATAGTTTTACATTTTATTCTCTCTTTCTCCCCCCCCCCCATATAATTTTATCCTGTTCTACTCCTTGAGAAAAAGTGTCAGAACCTCAAAAACACATTTTCCACTCAGTCGTTAAGTTTTAAAACTTTCTTGAAATTAAAATATCTAGCAGCCCGATTCTTAAAGTGAACGGATTGAGAAAACGATGTGCTTATACTTGGGTAACAATTGAAAGAACACCAGGATCATCGCCAAAAAAATAAATAATACTACACACGTGGGTTATAGGGCTTAATCCCAATAAAAACAGAGGAACCAGGCCTACACAGAGAACTTTTGCTACTACTAAAATTACAAGAATATACAACATAAAACCTCAAGTATCAAACAATAAAATATTTATTTTATAAACATCTTATCTGAAATATTTTAATCAATTATATTTATAAAAATATCTTTATTTTTCATTTACTTTTAACCTTATTATTTCTACTGTTAAGAAAAATCTTTGACCTCAAACTACAACAGTGATAACAAAATAATACAATTTAACTCGAATTTAAACATATAAACAACGATTTTTACTTCATGTAATACATTTATAAAATGTGTTATTAATTCGACTTCACAACCATTTGAGTTTTCCCAAAAAGAACTAGCCTGGCCATGTCTCCAAACGTTTTATTGTAAGTTTTGATGTTTTCTTCATCAAACTCTTCCCGCATGACGTTGGAAGCAAGATGAGCTTTATTTCTAGAAAGGTGAATTGCGTGAAAATTCTCCCAATCAGTACGGTGAACGCCGTACAAAAAATAGGATAGATTACGAACACCAAATTCGTACGGTACTCGGTGTACTAGGTTTGGTTGTTTCCTGAGTATCATTTGCGTCGGGAGTTCTCCTGCATTGTAATACAATCTGTCGGGTTTATAATACTTGTAGGATTGATACCACAACTTCAAGAATCGGGCATTCTTATGAGCCAGTATCACTTGCGTTCCAAGAGGTTGATCTGGTGGCCATCCAATTGCCATTTCAAATTTTAGAAATGAATCCAAAGGTTTTACAATATAAACATCGTTCTCCAGAAATATTCCCCCCTCTGACATCAAGATTTTTAGTCGGGCAATATCAGAGGCGTGGTGAACGGAACTTAATTTTTGGCCAAAAACATGAGTAGGTTTGTGGATGAATTTAATCTCTAAACCTGGTAAGTCTTTAACCATTTCCCAGTATTTTCCGTGAAGAGTATGACAATCACAGTGTATCACAACTTTTTCTGGGCTTTGGTGAAGAAAGGCAGCTTTTAAAGAGATCATGTCAACAAAGTTCATCTGGTGATTTTCCAGCCTAACAAAATGAACCACATTGGGGATGATAAAGGTGTCAAATCCTGTTTCATTATCGGCACCGGTGAAATCCACTATTTCACCAGCTAAAAAATTGTGAACGATTGCGAACTGAACAGAAAATGGAAACCAAAATGAAATAAATAGAGAACACATTAAAATAAATATGATGACAACAGAATAATAACGACATACATTAAAACGTCTATAAAAAATCATCTGAAAGGTTCTGAATTTTCACAATTCAAGTCCGTGTTTCTGAATGTACTATTTTTTAAATAACAATATAAACAGAAACCAAGACATCTCTTTTAGCAATTCAAATTTCTAAAGCAACAACAGCATTCAACATAAAAACTTTGGCATAACTCCAAAGCTAAGGAAAATATGTGGTTTTATATAGAACGTAATGTTTTTTCTTCTCTCTCAAGAACGACTAACGCCACCTGCAATAAAAAGAATTATTATTTAACATGCCTCCAACTCATCGTGTCCTGCTATTTTTACATCATCATACAAAAACGGCAAATTGAAACTAGCCTTATTTTAAGTCTGTGCAATATTCTAAATTATCACAAATACATTACTACAATACTATGTGTATTATCATACATCTTTCAGTACTTTTATGTCATTAATTAATATTACCATAAATTCTTTAATCATAACATATTTTTGTAAATCTGTTGAAACGCAACTATGGTGTCATAAATAGCTCACACAACCGAAACAAAATAATACACCGCAGACGATTTAATCAACTTTTGTAGGTTTTAATATCCAATACCAATTATAATAACAAATGGCTAAAATAATTTGATAATTACTCCCTCTATTAGCAATACTAATATGTGTACTATGTCGTCGTACAGGTACTGCTAAGCCACAGTGACCAAAGTTTACTGTTGTTTTTATAACTAGAAGCTCAAGCAAATTTACCGATACGAGTTTTACATAAAATACGTTTGCCATCTGTAAAATATGAAAAAGTATTGTACGATTTTATCATATTATATTTACAAAAACCTTTATGTTGTTATTTTTACGCACACTCCTAACCAACGGTTTATATTTAAAAACTTCCCATACACAATATTTTTCAAATTGTCATCTTTAGGTATAAATTATAAAAATAGTAGCTTTTTTGTATATCTTGGAAACTTAATTAAGTTAATACAAACTACACTGGCATCTGAAATAAAACAGTTCACATTACATTTACGTCTGTAATTGTGGATAATGATAAAAAAAAAAAGGCCACTCCCAACAAAGGAAAATATTGTTTACGGGAAATTTGGAATGAGTATGGAAAACCGGTTATCTTTTTACCCAAGCCATGTACGCTTTAGTATAACATACTTGAAATAACATAAAAGTTTTAATAACTTGAATACAAGATTCTTATAAATAAAAAATGCTAAGCAATCACCTTTATTACAAGATTCTTAAACATGTGTATTAATTATTACAATATGTCCTTAAGTGACGTTAATTTACAAACTTACCTCTTCTATTCGTTCTATTTTTTCACTCTGTTAGTGTTAGTGTGTACTATGTTATCTAAAACTAAAAGTTACTCAACAATCAGCTAAACAGAAAACCTGATATTTGCGTGTATTTACGGTAAACGAACTTTTTGGTTAAAGTGATGCATTATAATGTATACGAAAAAAAAATTATAATATGTATCACTGTAACACAACTATAAATTAATATATTACATCGTATCATAATAAAAAGCCTAATTTTTGTTAATCCGAAAAAAAAATACAGCATCTCGGTCGCAAATCATTCATGCCGTGTTAAAAATAAAACTACTGTTATAATTACAACGTTGCTTAAACAGAAAATACATACAGACTTAACAAAGATTATGGACCTTTCGTGACGAGAAATAAAACGTTATAAGAAAGTATATAGCATTTGTAAACGAATACTTTTGGTATTTAGTAATGTTTAAAGCTCATTGAAAATATAAATATGTTTAATTTAATTGTACTGTTAAAAAATTAGGATTTAAATTTTGTCTTTAGGAAAACATCTTTCTTTGTGTTCTGTTTGTCAAATCTGACATTATTACTTCACTTAATAAAATGAGATATTTTGGTAAATACTAACCCAATAAAACCAGAATAGCGTAGACTATTAATCTCTGATGACTTCCTTGATGTTTTAATTTTACATGTATCTTAAAATTCGTCAAACGGCGGACCGCACAAAACATCGGTGGGGGTGGAGGTTGCTGTAGTAAACAAATAGAAAATGTCTGAAAATCAATAAAAACACTTTAGAATATTATTTTACAATTTCACACAACAACAACAAGTACTGTACAAACAAATATAAATTAAACTGTTTACTGTGTACTACAAAACTGTAAGTCATGTAAGTAATAAGAATGTATCATATAATAACCAGTATACATATTGTACCGATACACAAAAATAACTAATAGCTTAATGTTTAGAATTTGCCAAACATGTAGTCTACTTTCATTTCAGTTGAAAAAAGTCTGCCGACTGCATAAAAAAATCCTGTCATTAAAATATTGGGGGGTGATATTCAGTTCCCAATTTAATTGTCGTGTTTTGAATCTTAACCTGATCTTGTTTCAGACTGATAGAACATGGCGTTATAAACAAAAAACAACAATGTCATTCTTCTCAGGCTGCTCTCACTACAAAAAAACAAATAAAAATGGATGTTGTATCCCTCGAGCATCACCTGACTTGCTATTGTCTATTTCTATATTGTATGAGCTATGTAACAGTAATCTTTCCCATGATATACAACACCACTAACACATCACCATGACCTATAAAACTATTAAGAGTATATTATATTCTATGTATAACTATTTAAATTTTCAGTCTCTTTTCAAATCTTCATCTCTTCAATAGCTCTTCACTCGGGCACTAGCCGGGCTTTTCTTTTGGTCCCAACTAGTGAAAGTAGGTTTTCTCGGGGTACTCCCGTCCTCCCCCCCACACATACACACCAAATTCTTGGGCGTTGGATCTATAGATCTCAGCCATGGCACTTGGATCTACTGACCGCAGCCAGGCCTTGCAAAGGCCCGTTTACTTCAGTTTCTTTCGATAAATTGTCGACAGTGGCTGCCGACTTGCTCCTTCTACAAGATCAACCGGCTTCTGCTACGTCTTGGACTTGTCTTCACTTCCGCCCACTTGCCTCACCATCACCTGTGTATATATATATATTTCTTTCTTTATATATATATATATATTAAATTATATATATATTTATTTATTTGTTTTTCTCTTTTTTTCCTTTTTTCTATTATTTTATTCATTTAATTTTTTATTTTTTTTTATTTTTCTATTTTAATTATTTATTCACCCATATGGTCCAGTAAAACCGATGACCTCTCATTGAACTTCTAACCTCTAGCCTCGAGCAGGGTGAAAGAGGATTGCTAATCTTCGGGCAACCCTGATTATTAATTATTTCTTCTGAAGTAATTAAGTTTAAATCAAAATAACTGCATGAAATAAATAAATAAACACACACACTGACCTGAAGTCGAAAGGCGGAAGACTTTCGAAACGTCGTCCTCTACATTTGTATGTTTCTACAACAGGCAGTTGCTGTCCATTTGAAACTTATATTCATTATGAATACTCTGCCTAAACAACCCATCAATAGTCACTTCCTGATAAGCTTTCCATTAAATACCAAAACTTATCAGTTTGGCTTGATTATGAAAGACAAAAACACTCTATAAGCTGCTATTGATATGCGTAGTATATTACTTTAAAAGTTATATCCAGATCAAATCCTTTATTGTCATTCAAATGTTGCATAATAGTTTTGTTCTTAATGTAATTGGTTCATTTGTGTTATGACAACTCATGGATGGCTTTATACACGTGTGCAACATCAAACACATATTTATCTATGCACGTATATTGCCATACATATATATTGCCATTACACATCGTTACACATAACATTGA